ATGTTTATTGAGAAAGCTATCCGAGGTGGCATAAGTCAAGTAAGTAATCGATACTCTGAAGCTAATAACAAATACATGCCATCTTACGATTCCTCAAAGCCCAGCAAATATTTGCTATATTTAGATGTGAATAATTTATATGGTTGGGCAATGTCTCAATATCTTCCGTATGGTGGTTTCGAGTGGGTTGATACTAATATTGATGTCTTGTCTATTCCTGACGATGCTTCGGAAGGGTACATACTACAAGTGGATTTGGAATACCCAGAACACTTGCACGACTTACATCGAGATTTACCGTTTTGTTGCGAACATCGTGTTCCACCAAGAAGTAAGCTTCCAAAACTTATGACCACCTTGTACCATAAAAAAGAGTACACCTTGCACTATCGCAATCTAAAACAAGCTCTGAATGCAGGACTCAAACTAACAAAAATCCATAAAGTGTTGAAATTCAAACAGAGCGCTTGGCTTAAGCCATATATCGATCTTAATACAAAATTGCGAACTGCAGCAACAACGGCATTTGAGAAAGATCTTTTTAAGTTGGCCAACAACGCCATTTTCGGTAAAACGATGGAAAACATTAGGAAACATCGCATTGTAAAACTTGTATCAAAATGGGATGGAAGATATGGAGCCAAAAATTTGATTGCTAGTCCACGATTTCATAATAGAACCGTGTTTGACGAAAATTTAATGGCGATTGAACTTAACAAAACAGAGCTCATTTTCAACAAACCATTGTACATCGGCATGTCAATTTTAGATATATCCAAAGTGTGTATGTACGATTTTCATTATAACTTTATGCTACCATATATGGGAGTTGAAAATTGTAAGCTAATGTATGGGGACACTGACAGTTTTATCTATGAATTAAAATGTGATGACGTTTACAGAGATGTTATTAAAGCAAATTTATCTAAATTCGATACATCAGACTATTCCGAGAATAATATTTATGGAATACCTCAAGTCAACAAAAAAGTTCTCGGAATGATGAAAGATGAGGCAAACGGTCGCATTATGACTCATTTTGCCGGACTTAGATCTAAAATGTATTCGTTTAAGATTAGTACGACGGATGAGGATCGAAAGGCATTGTGGGATAAATACAAGAATAATATGGATGATGCTAATATTGAAAGACTTGCAAATAATTTAGGTGTCACAAAAAAATCTAAGGGGGTAAAATATTCAACTGTAAAAAATGACATTACTTTCGATGATTATGTTAAGTGTTTAAACGAATTTACAACTAAAAGTGTTTCCCAATCAACGTTTCGTTCCTACGCCCATGATCTTTTTACAATAACACAAGAAAAAATTGCATTAAGTCCCTATGACGATAAACGTTACTTGCAACAAAATTCTCATGACACTTTACCTTGGGGTCATTATGAAACCACAATGATTGAGTAAAAACAAAAATTAATAAATGAAAACATAACCAATTTTTTATAGCTTTATCAATCTCCACAGGAAAATGGATCAGCTATTCTTTAAATGAATATGTAGAATAATATTTGTAATTTTGTTAAACATCAATTTGTAATATAAGTAGAAAATAAAAAACTTTAAAAAATATACATTGTTTTCCTATAATTTTAAGTCTCAATCTTTTACAGCGTTGTGAGACATTTGACGTGAAAATAAAAGACATCTTTGCATAAATATATTTATTTTGATTATTACATAAAATCATTTACAACTTTAATTTTATAATAATATAAATATTCTCTTAAAGCATTACTTAACAAAGTGTCTGAGGAAATTTCACAAAACGCAGTTAAAGCTTCAAGTGGTCCATATAAACTGCTTCTGATGCAAAAGTTTGATTTTATTATGTCGACAACATTTGTATAATAAGCATGAAATTTTAGAGTGCCCAATAACGATACACGATGAGACACCAGATTGCGATCCGCTTCTATGATTTGGTTAACGTCACCTTCTTCTAGATAGTATTCAACACCATGTTTTTCAACAACGATAAATTTAGTTGTATCATACACTACTTGTTTAATTTTACAATAGTCTCCACACTCGAATGTTACTGGACTTGTAGGTTGATCTTTCAGAATTTGAATAAACATCGCAGTCATGTCAGTCCACTCGGATGTATTTAAACTGATTTTATTAAACTTGTTGTGCTGACACAAAATAATGGCTGGTGAGAAATGGCGAGCTGGAGAAAGGCCAACTTTGATTATACAGTTGTCAAGCGGAAAGGATGCTTCTAGTAAGTAATACGGTTCATTTTTTGCTGCTTCTTCGAATCTCGCCAAAGCTCTGTCTATGTTAGCATAATAATTGATATCATCTGATGATGAATCGGCGGCTACCACCATATCGTCTGATGAACTATAACCACTATCTTGAGAACTCATATTGATGAACTGGCAGGAACAACTGAGAGTGAGCTTGCAGCATTTATGAAATTTATACTTTTTGTCACGTCACCCCCACTCATTTAGTGTATATCTACGCGGCGTATGTAAAAGTAGATCCTAAATGATATCTTTAACGTTAATCCAGCTATTATGGCTACTATCAAGTCCCAACCATTGAACATACATCTTATTTCCACGTCTGCGCAGTACTTTCTCAACTAAATAAATGTCTGTATTTTTTGTTTTCTGTAATTCTTCTTCGTAGAATGCTCCTTTGATAGGCGCTCCAGTCATATCTTCAATCAAGTATGTTGTGGGATTCGTTATTTTAATTTCAGCAATTTTAAATAGTTCTGTTGTCCAATTCGGTTTATATCCCTTATCGAAAATGTGTTTATTTTTACTAATGCGAACCACGTCACCAACTTTCAATTTTCTTGGACCGGCAATTTTCAAGTGAGTATAATATTTTCGTAAAATTTCCTTTTCGTTAGATTTATTAACATCAATAGGTCTAAGTCGAATTTTGCTGTGTTTCGTATTATTGTACTCTTTAGTAATTTGAGGCAAGATATCGATCCATTTGTAAGTTCCGTTAAGACTGAAATACTTGTAAAGTTTTTCCTTCAATGTTCGAATAACTCGTTCACATATGGCTGCTTTTTTAACACTAAAGGTATTATAGTGATTAATACTATGCTTTTTCATGAGATTTTGAAACTTGGAATTGAAAAATTCTGTACCTTGGTCTGTTTGTAAATTTTTCGGACATCGTCGAGTATGAGCGAGAATATCCGAAAATGTTCGAGTAATTTCCTCCCCTGTTTTCGTCTTTAATGGTCGAGTCCACACAAACTTTGAAAAACAATCAATTACAACAAGAATGAGCTTGTAAGATTTATTTTGACTGGCATAAGGTCTCATCTCAGCAAGGTCCATTTGCCACAAATCATCTAGTCCTTTAATGATTGTTCGTCGACGAGGATAATTTTTTCGTGCGGGCTTGTGCAGCTCGTTAACTAGTTGTATCTTCTCCTCGGTAAATGCCATGTCTAGCTTCCAACGCTTCAACTCTTTGAACTAACGCTAATTCGTTGTTCCGTTAGCTTTATTATGTAATAGGTATTCTTCCATTGCATCAAGACGAACGACTAAATCATGTGAATTAAGATCTGCTGTTTTAATTTTTTTTTCTATTTCCAACGTTTTCAACATAATTTGTGCATTTTGGTTGGCGGCATCTGTAATATTCTTCGTCATTTCTTGTTTAAATATAACAAAATCATTTTTAAAATCATGCATTTGTTTTGATAAATCAGATATTTTCAAAGAAGTCATTTTATTGTCATCAGACAACTCGTTAACTTTTTTACTTAAATTATCTTCTATTTTACTGATGGAGTTTGAGATTTTTTGTTCGAGTTGAGTATCTTTTTGATTTC